GTATATGGCCGGCTTGTTATCTATCACTATCCTCAGGTCTATTTACATTGTTCACAATGCCGTTATAAATAAGTGATTACTCACCTTGTTTATGTCCAGTTTCAACTTAATTGTTAACTTAACAGTTTACACTACTTTTTCACATATAACATGAATTATTTCACTGTTAATAAAGTCACTTAATAAGAGACGAAATAAAGAGTATATGTGTAAGGTTAACGCATGCGCAGAACTGAGCATGCGCAGAACTGAGCTTATTACTAGTGAGATATTACTGTATTTTTTTAGATATGTGAAACCTAACTAAGTCTGAATGAAAAATTAGAAGAGTTAAATGCAAAAGTATATCGGTTATACCAATTCTTTACAATGTACAAGACCAAGACCGATTTTGGGCAACACTAACCAGGAGAACATCTAATTTAATAACTGAATAATTTTGTCGCGAATTTAATTTGGGCTTGGTCACCAGGTACCCGACCGGACAAGCCTGCTTCCAATTTGATCCAAATTCTTTTCCCAAAGTGAGACGAAATTCAGTCTTTTAATTTGATTGGGGCATTAATTAATACCGGGTATACCTACCCTGGAGGGCTGTTCCCACCAAACATGACTCCAGTAACTTCCTACCTACTTATTGTGGGCCTATATTACAGTTTATAAATAATACTTATATATTTATTTGTATAATACTTATTATAAATAATTTGTAAATCTAATGATAACAATAAAAAAAATCTGCCAAGTAAAGCCAGTATAGCTTCCTCGCCGTTTTCATCGGCTCTATAAGGCTTTTAATTTTTCGTATGAAAATAAAATGTCCGGGAGAAATCGTTTTAGGAAGTCCAGTAATCCCTCAACATTTGCTGGTTTGATATCCACGAACTTTGTTTAGTAGCAAATATTAAAATGCGAAAGAGTTCCACATTTCCAGATAGTGAATTCTATAATTCGTAATTTTTAAAAAAAATCGCAGTACATTCTGAACATTCATATCACTATTTTTGGTGCAAAAGGTCTTATGTAAAAGTTAAATGTTTTACAGAGGAGCATAAAAACTAATTATTTCTTTACTAGTAGGCCCATACGAAAAATTGGCACAGAAATTGCCAATTCAAATGCCAAATTATTAAGAAAATAAAATAATGCAACATATTAAAAGATAAATACTTTATCGATAAATATAATTGACAAAGGAAACAAAAATTAATTTAAATCTTCATTAATGTTTGGAACCAACATGTTTACAAATTTCAATAAGCTGTATCTTTGCTTAATATTGTTTGATTTCGATGATTTTTTTTTTCCTTTAGAATGAAATTTAGTAATCTTTTACATAATCATGGGCATAACCAAGCAAAAAGTGTGTAATTTTTTAGTTATTCGCAAATAAAGTTTCTTTTCTTTCATAACTTGTTTGCCTGAATTTTGGGGGTGATTGGACTATTTTGCCAGCCTGAAGGAGAAGGAAGCCATTGAAATTGGTGGCTCAATCTTGAGATTTGAGGAAGAATTAACGATGATATGGCTTGCCGATCAAAAACATCATCGATAAATAATATAAACTCCTCCTGTCTCGATAATAGAGACCTCAAGTCGACGAAATGAGACATGTGTCCAATGACAGTACTACAATTAACGTCAGGTTGTGTGGATGCGAACCCATGCATTGCGTTATATCGAAAATAGTATGTTTTTTGGCTTAAAAACGCAGGATCCGATAGTTCCGGAGGAGCTATCCGGGTCTTGCTGTACGCATCAAAATCTTCAAGATCCAATTTGTCCCGTATCGATCTACAGACCTACCACCGTTCCTGTATTGAAGCCTAGCAAAATGTTTGTATCGACTTTATTTATTTTAGAAAGAAAAACAGAAGCGGAGAATACGATTCGCTAACCACCTGTGAAATTCTGAAAACGGTACCCCATTCATGGTATTTGAGAATGACAGGAGCTTATATTTGGTACAAAACCGATTTCGAGCCTTACTGTAATAATATATGTGTGGATTGTTGGTGCAAAAGGTCGTATGTAAAAGTTAAATGTTTTATAGAAGAGCATAAAAACTAATTATTTCTTTATGATGTGGTACTTTTATTAACCTCTGCTATTTTCCACAGCATCACACTAATTATCAGTTGCAGATTACAAAATGTCACCTTTAGCACAAAAAGAATAAAAATTATACATATGACTTTTACTAGCGATATGTACTTAATAGATATGTTTTCATTCGCAAAATGAGTGATTTCAAAAATCCATTGAAAAACATTTAACATTCAGTTTGTTCGGAATTAAGCAGACCAATATTATTCTTCAGTCAGAACAAAAGTTATTTAAGCTGGAATACAAAAATATGCGTTCAAGATGTTTAAGGAGAAAATCGAGACCTTCGATGAGAAGAGAGAACAACGAACTGGTTGAACTTCAATAGGAATAAACACAATCATAAATACGACCATTTTAGTAAAACCTAAAAGGAGAACTATCAGCCTCTTAGGTGAAAATTTGCCTAAAATACTGCGGCTTTTTCGGCCTAGCCACCAGATCCATCAGGATGGCACATCTCTAGATAGCCAGCCAGCTTGCAGTGGGTGGTACCTCTCTTGCCGTCACTGAATAGCCGATGATGCATTTGTGCGACTGATTTGTTTTTAAATTCAAAATGTCTCCGATACTCACTTCAGTCTATTTTATTTAAATTATCAGAGTTTTTAGCACCAGATTAAATTTAAGTTAATCAGAATTTAATTTTACAGAATTTATGTGAGTCCCCAACATTGCCATATTTTGATTTTATTTCAGCAATTGTACAAACTCCGAAAATTCCTACCACCTACATACTTCCTCATTATCCGTTCCTACCTTACTGATAGATACTTTAAAGTAAATCACAATAACGCCTATTCATCCCTTTTTTCCCAGTCCGCTGATGTTCCTCAAGGTAGTATCCTAGGTCCTATCCTCTATACAGTTTATACAGCTGACATCCCTACCTGTCCCAACACTGTCATCACCACATATGCCGATGACACATGTATCCTATCAGTAAACAATGACCCAGCAATTGCATCCCAAATGCTTCAATCACACATCATAAATCTAGAAGAATGGTGTTAAAACTGGAGAATTAAAATAAACTCCAATAAATCCCACCAAATTACCTTTACCCTTCGTCGTAAACCAACGACTTCCTGTCCTACAGTTTCCTTTAACAATACTCCACTTATCCCTGTTGAGCAAATCCGATACCTAGGACTCCACCTGGACAAACGACTAACTTGGAATCCTCATACTAGACTGAAACGACAAGAAACCGCTCGTCGTTTCCGATTACTTCAGCACTTACTAGACAAACGCTCTAAACTTCCCATTAATTACAAAAGATCATATACTTGACTATAATAAGACCTATTTGGACTTACGGAGTTGAGCTATGGGGCTCCACTAAACCATCGAATTCCTCTCGCATCCAATCCTTACAATCCAAAATCCTTCGTAAAATCCTCAATGCTCCTTACTTTGTCACTAATAAAATTATCCATAAAGATCTTAATGTTCCTTATGTTTCAGATCTGGCCCAATCCAGATACCTATCCTTCCATAATAAACTTCAGAATCATCCCAACCCTCTCGTTTCTAACCTTGCTTCCTCTTCAATTCCTGATAACCCTCCGAGGCGTCTGAAAAGAAGATGGCCCCGTGATCTCCTAATGTAGTCATATCATTAGAGTGCTATCATTGGGTAGTTACTCAGCAAGTGTATTCATGTCATTATATCAATTATGTCCAAATTTACTTGATGTATTTATGTAATACAGTTGTAAATGTCATAAAGAAATAAAATAAAAAAAATTCAGCAATTATATAAATTTTATTTTTGTATTCCTCATGAGTTTTATACTGTAAACCCTTACTGACCTGTTTCTTTTTTTTGTTTTTTTTTTTTTTGTTTTTTGCATCCAAAGAAAGTTACATAATTTTCGTAAAGATAACAAAATTAAAATTAAAGTAGTGAACTCAAATTAACAAAAATAAAATCAATTGATGTAATGGAAAGTGTAATATTTATAAAAACCAAGCGATCTTTCACCCAGCTTCTTTTTATTTATTTATTTTTTTACATTTCTTTTGGGTTCTTTTCTGCACTGAGCGCCCCAGTTAATGATGGAAGTGTTTTTTTCATTTGGAATAAAATACCTCAGAAACTTCGACCTGCATACTCAAAACGAAGAAAATGCTTAAAATTGTATCTTCTTTGTAAAGAGCTATTAATATAAATTATTGCTTAACGTGACACTGTGTTAGAGAGGTAAAAAGAGAAAAATAATGTCGAAAACCAAATTATAGTGAGTTTGGTTGAACACCTAGATTAAAATATTTCACAAACGAGAAATTGGGATTGCATACTGCAAGCGAGGTAGTGTTGCCCAAAATCGGTCTTGATCTTCCAATTTGCAAGACCAAGACCAAGGCCGCCTGACTGTTGCAAGACCAAGAGCAGGACTTGTAAAAAAAATCGATTTTTTGAATAAAAATTAATGGAAAATAGTTAATAATACTTGATAGTCATAGTTACTAAACTTAAATAATTGGTGTAACCAATATACTTTTCCATTTAACCCCTCTGATTTTTCATTCGGGCTTAGTTAGGTTTCTCCTATCTAAAAAAGTACAGTAATATCTCTATGGTAATAAGCTAATCATTAACTGCAAGACTGATGCAAGACTCTAGCGCAAGACCTGCAAACTGGTAGACTGAGTTTGCAAGACCAAGACTCGACTCGGTCTCGCATTTGTGCAACACTAAAGCAAGGGAAATGTCCATCATTTAATCATCTTTGTAATAAACTATTATAATAAATTGTATATTGACCTGTCGCCTTTTTAGAAAGGCAAAAAAGGAAAAAGATCACTGGTGTGCTTAAAGTACAAAAGAGCCCTCTTCTTTATAATGATAGTGCCCTAGAAACTTATACACAATGTTGATATTTGTTTAGCTGAAGAGTTACCTGTCGGCCAAGAAGAGAGATCCTGAATTGTTCCAATTGAGTCCTGCGGTTGAGGATATTGTCCACCTTAGCCAAGGATGTCAGTGTATCCTGCGAGGAAGAACCAAAAAGGGGCAAGCCATCTTCGTTTCCCGTCCCGGCAAGTACAACCTCATATCTGGTAAGTAGTAGTTTACAAATCTAAAAATAACCTAATTAAATATTACAAAATTAAAGTTTAGGAAGAGATATTTGGAGCATATTAGCCAAACTAATACTTTAGTTTGGCAAGCTTGAAATTTGTTATCTGCAAAGTTTTGCAATAAGCGAATTTGCACACTTTACATATAAGTTGGGGTTAAGTTCGTCGGGATGGGTTGTATGGATTCGTAGTGAAAGCAAGTGTTGGGTTCATGTTTTAAATCCTGTTCTCCGATCCACATATTTCCCTGATTCTTGGAAACTATCTATTGTCAAAATGTTACACAAACCTAAAAAAACATCCGAACACCCATCCTCTTACCGTCCTATTTCTCTATTACCTATCATGGGCAAAATCCTGGAAAAACTCATCCTAAAACGCCTGTATCCCATCCTAGACTCTAATCATATTATCCCTGATCACCAATTTGGATTCCACACATCGCATTCCACTATCCAACAATGTCATCGTGTGGTTGATTCAGTCTTCTCTGCATTAGAGTGCGATAAGTACTGAACGGGAGTCTTTCTCGAAGTTGAACAGGCGTTTGATCGAGTCTGGCACCCAGGTCTTCTGTACAAGCTCCGAAAAGTCCTACCCCCTACATACTTCCTCATTATCCGCTCCTTTCTTACTGATAGAAACTTCAAAGTAAACCAAAATAATGTCTGCTCATCCCTCTTTGTTCAATCTGCAGGCGTTCCACAAGGTAGTATCCTCGGTCCCATCCTCTACACAGTTTATACAGCTGACATCCCAACCCATCCTGACACTGTCATCACCACTTACGCCGATGACACATGTTTGCTATCTGTTAATAACGATCCTTTAATTGCATCCCAAACTCTTCAATCACATATCACAAGCCTTGAAGAATGGTGTAAAAATTGGAGAATAAAAATAAATTCCAACAAATCCCATCAAATCACCTTTACTCCTCCGTCGTAAACCTATGACTTCTTGTCCTACAGTATCCTTCAATAATACTCCACTTATTCCTGTTGAGCAAATCCGCTACTTAGGACTCCACTTGGATAAACGTCTTACTTGGAATCCGCATACCAGACTGAAACAACAAGAAACTGCTCGACGTTTCTGACTGCTCCAACACATACTAGACAAACGCTCTAAACTTTCAATTAATTACAAAAGACTTAACTATAATAACTAAATAACTATAAAGACATAAATAACTGTAAAGACAGAAATAAATAACTATAAAGACATAACTATAATAAGACCTATATGGACATACGGAGTTGAGCTTTGGTGCTCCATCAAACCATCGAATTCCTATCGTATCCAATCCTTGCAATCCAAAATCCTCCGTAAAATCTTTAATGCTCCATACTTTGTCACAAATAAAATCATTCATAAAGACCTTAATGTACCATATGTCGCTGATTTAGCTCGAGCCAGGTATCTATCCTTTCATGATAAACTTCAGTCCCATCTAAATCAAATTGTTTACACTCTTGCTTCTTCCTCGTTCGCTGATAATCCTGCTAGGCGTCTGAAAAGGAGATGGCTGCGTGATCTTCTTACTTAAAATTATTTAGGGAGTAGTATCTCTTCAAACCTGTACATGTCATTATTTATAATTTGCGTATATTTAATAGTTGTATTTGTATACAGTTGTAAATTTCATTAAATAAACAAAAAAAAAAATGTTTTAAATCTGTCTCTGGTCGAAATTTTTATAGAACTGTGTTGCTGTATCTGAAACCGTTTGGATGTCAATTTATTTGTGTCTATGATAGACAATGCAAATCTCTTAATTTCGTTTTAGCAAACTTTGCTTGTAAAATAACAGTTGAATAACTAATAGTCGTACAATACATAATCAACGGGTCGTGCAGTCCATAATCAATGGATCATACAATCTATAATCAACCGATGATATAATAAATAATACTTTTGTTATTTTAATGGTATTTACGATATGTTAGCTGTATTTTTTCAGATTTAGCTCAGAAAAATGCAATTCAATAATTTTATAATAGCCCAACATGGCCAGACAATATTTACTATTCGAAGTTGAGCGGTAAGTGAAAGTTGTATGTTGCTCTCACCAGATTTTTCGTCATAGATTTGTAATTTTTTTTTGTTCTTTTGTCCTCCCCTTCCTTGCCTTTTAGGCTACACGGGGTTTTTCTTGGTCAGGGGGGAGGGTGGACTAAAATCCAAAGAAATTTAGTTATTTTTTAACATATTTGGACAACTATTGAATACGTATGTCATTGCTTATACTATACATATTAAGAATCGGTTAGTTTAGCATGCAGTAATATTTATTTTGGTTTATTATTTTCAATAATGAAACATTGTGATCGACCAAAAAATTCAAAAACATAACCCCCTCTCAAAATTTGAGGTTTCACGTCTCAAGACGCATAGAATTCGAAAAACGAATAAAACTTTTTTTGTCCGTCGGCCGTCCGCCGTCCGCGCATTTTCTCCGTAATTACTGGACCGATTTTTCAAATTTTGATACAAAATCAGAGATCACCCGAGGATGATCCTCCTGCATCGACGATACTCTCCGCCTTTAACTTTCAAAATGGCGGCCGAAAAACCTGCGTTGCTATAGACTGTAGCTCCTAAGCAAATGAGCAGATTTCAATGAAGCTTCGCTAAAGTCATTTTCTCGACTCCCTTTAAATGTATCTATATAACATACTTCAACGAAAAGAAGCTGGAAAAAAAGTTACGAAGGATGGTAAAATTAAATTCCGAATAACTCGAAAAGTTTTTACTTTTTTGTTGATATTGGATATATTTTTTTAAAAGTTTACGAAATTTCCTAAAAAAAAATTAAAAAAAAATAGGACAATTAGGAGCAAAGATATGGTCTCCGGTTTTTTTAAATGTGTTCTACTCCAAATGTTATATCCTTGGTTTGGTTTTTAAATTTGAAATGTGTTACTGAACTAATGCTATTGTTTTTAGCATATTACTAATGATTAAAGAAAAACAGTTTAGTCCAATAATTGGAATCACCTTTTGTTTTTTTTTTCTTTGTAACTCGGAAGGTAATGTTACTTTAGATGTATAATTGTTTGGAAATAATAAACCATTGTGAAATAATTTACAGCGTTTTATTATTTGAACAGTACCTTATTTCTGAATTGCAGCGTAAAATTTCCCATACTTTCTTAAATAGCTTAAATTTCACTATTGCTTAGTAGATGCAGTTTAAGTTCTGGTATATCAAAGAGCTATAACAATTATTGCGAAGTGCGTCGTACAGAACAAAGACTTGACTGAGGTCGAAGTACAGGGTCTAGGGTTCAATGTTCAAAGTAGTGGGTTATATTAAAATTTAGAAATTTATTTAGTTTTAAATACAATAGAACAATTATTAAATACTTATATCCATATTTGTAGTGCATAAATTAAGAATGAAGAATTTAACTAGTAGAGATTTTTTTTTTTTTTTGATAATTTGAACCTTATGTTTCAGCGTAAATTGTCAAATACTTTCTTAAATATTTTTTAGTCTCGATTTATTGGTCCAGTTAAACTTCTGATACATCGCAAAACTATTATGATAATTTAAAACTTCATCTTTACGGAGCTAGAACTGCATTTCGAAGTACTTTGTGTTCCAATTGGCTCAATCACGTGGTATCCTAAGTTCAAATTTCTCGAGTTAAATTAAAATAAATTTATTTATTTTCTAATACAACGGGACAATCGTTGGTAATTATTTAGGTGAGGACCGCACAGGTTACGCGTGGTTCACAATCACATCGGTCACACTTGTTCATGAAATGGCGAAAACAGTCTTTCGGGTAAACCCGGATGCATTCGGCACTCCAAGTGTGATCGAAGTGATTGTGAACCACCCGTAACCTATACATCTTCATCTAAATATTTACCCAATTGTTTATCATTTACTTCCAACATTCCTCATACATATATCAATAATTTAGTAAATTAATAGGCAGTAACACTTAATCAAAATTTTACAATGGATCTTATTTTTAAACACCAGAAAGACATTTCAATTCCTTTCTCAAATACTTTTAAAATGATAATTTATTTGTAGATGCAGTTTTAATTCAGATTTATAGAAACAATTAAATAAAAGAAAGTAGCGAATAGATACAAACCTGATACTTCGACAAATACTGATAGAAGTAAATGCAGTTTGGTACTTTTATATTCTAAGTAGTAGAGTATAGAAAAATAAAGAATTTTAATTATTTTCTTCCACGTCATAGACAATTGTTAAATTTTCGTAACATTTATTTAAAAGTTATGTTACATTTAGTTAAATTGTTGAATTTATGTACATGCTTGAAGTTATACAGAGATATATGTGTATTAATAATTGGTTAATTGAACTGTCAATAATAAATAATAATTTATTTGGAATTTTTATCAATACCTTATTTCTAAAACGCATAGAAACATTTGTGTTTCCTTCTCATATAGCTAAAACGTAGTAATTCGTTAGGAGTTGCAATTAATATTTTTCAAAATGAATAAAGAATTAAATAAAAAATAAACAATAATGAATAAATTTCATTATAGCGAAATGCATTGGTTCACAGCTGACTATGATGTGAGGGCGAAGTACAATTTTCGAACTGGCACAGACATGTTCAGTCCATTGTTTAAACAATGATTTCTTAGAGAATATTTTAATTTGTATTTCTTCTCTCTGCTAACAAGTTATAGAAGGATAGATAATTATTTATGTACATTTGATTAGTTTTATAATTTCATTCACTGAGGCATTGTTAATTTAAAAACAAACATTTATTAAATTCGTCAGTACCTTATTTTGAAATAACTGAGAAGCTTTCTCGTTACTTTCTTAAAGATTTGTAATATTGTAACAGCAATAGACGCAGTTTATATGTATATATATATTGCAGTTATATCTAAATTACTATGATTGTTACGAAGCGCATCGGTACACAGCTGGCAATGAACTGAAGTGACGATTCAGTATGCCAGTGTTACCACTCCTCAATAATAAATAATATAATTATAACTTTTATTAAATATTTTAAATCCTTGTACCTATGCTCATTGAAAATCATACAAATGCATATAAATTGTATGTGTTAAAGATTTTAAAAAATAAAATTAGTCAAAAATATGAAATTAAATCAAAGTAGTGCAGCCATCGATGTCATGTGTTTGAATAAAATGATACAAGAAAATTAATACTTGTAAAATAATAATAGTATTATAATTTCAAAAGGTTTATAATTTTAACAAAAAATAGGCCAAGTTCCTAAACTCAGCGCTGAACTCATCGGTAACATCTTTTCGCCCAGTTTATAACGATGAATTCAGCGCTGAGTTTAGAAACTTTAAAATGTATTATTAAAATTTAAAACCCTTTAAAATGATTATACATACTTTTACTATCTTGCCAGTATTAATATTCTTGTATCATTTTATACATAGATATTATATCGATGGTTACACTACTTCGAATTAATTTCATATTCTTGACTAATTTTATTTTAAAAAATCTTAACACATACAAAAAAATTATAATAATATTATTTATTATTGAGGAGTGGTAACACTGGCATATTGCACTATAGCGAAACTATAAGGAATTAGGTTATTATATATATATATATATATATATATATATATATATATTTCCTAATAGTTTCGCTAATTCCTTATAGTTTCGCTAATATGACGACTGTCACAGCTGTACCCTGAAACAATCGTACCCAGTCTTCCCTATTTAATCACAAAATACTGAACACAGGACCATTCATGGCATGTAGTAGTGGTTTAGGTTTTTTTTTTTTTTTTTTATATTTAGGTTAAAATATGTTTCCATTAATTTTGCATTTCATATAATCTTATTTAAGCAGGTTTGTGTCGGATAGCTAACACCCTTTGCCAACAAGCTTAGAGAATTATTAATTTAAATTCACTGACTTTGTAATATCTAATTGTAACTGTCTACGAATTGTTGTTGTGAGTTCGCTAAAATATCTTTTACTATTTGGTTCTCAGCCAATTCTCCTTATGGACTAAAGTCGGTTATTTGGGTATGAAATGCAACATTCGCTTGTATTGATTTGTATTTGATATTATGAGATATTTTTTTAAGCCAAATTGAAATGTTACGTTTTTTGGTGTTGAAATTTATTCGGAATATCACTGGATAATTATTGATGACAATTACCCAACAATGTTTAATAAAAATTAATAATAAAAAAATAGTAAAATAAATTTGGATTCATAATATATTTATTGGTTCAGAATTAATTAATTGGATTTCTTTTCTCAAAGGCTGGTTTGTGTTTATCATGCTTTCAAATTACCAATATTACCTGGAATCATCAAGACATGAATGGGTGGCAGAGAATTAAAATAACCTTTACTAAAAAAACCTAATTTATTTGTATGTTAAATAAAGAATATATACAAATTATATTTACAAGAAACTAAATACGTGATTCAATGAATTTAATAATTAACTGTGAAGGTATGATTTCAGATGGACTGTTTTGAGAATTATTGCCATGACATATTATAACATTGGGATTGAGAATTACAACTTAGCTATTATGGTATGTGAAGTGGTATGGATAATAGATTTCGTCGCTACATCTGCTGATCTGAGGTCATCACATCAAGGCCAGGTCTATCTTCATGGTCTATGTTGGGCCAAGGCTTCAGTCCCCAAGCCGGAAGAAAACATAATACCTATCCTCAAAGCCGGGATTCAACATAAGACCTGCTTTCTTACTTCTCGGCGTATTATATACAAATATTCAGGGTGTGGCAAGGATGGTTTTCATTGGTTCTTAACTTTACCCTATTACTTCACAATAACAAGTGACACCTAAAAAGAAACCAGTTACTTAGCCCGTTACTAGTTTTTACTCTAAACCTTCCCCAGGGTCCAGGTACAGGTCGGTCCTTATCTACCTGATTCTCCTCCTTGACGCTGTTTTTGATGTCAGAAGTCGGTTTCATTCAACCTTGTTTTTGAAACCTCATAATAATTTTAAAAACTTATTTGCTGTGTTCAATACATAGCACCATGTATAACAACATTTTTTTCAAAGAAATAGAATAAAAATATTTATTTTTTTCTGTTAAAATGTACTGAAGGCCTCTACTATCGTTAATGTCGTGCGATGCGTTAACAATACTGTTTCTAATAAACCTATCGGTAATATGACGAATGTTTCCAGTCAGCCCTATACATTTTTTTTTAAGCTATATCAAATTTAGTTTCAAAATGACAAACTGTTTTAGAACAAGATGGTATATATACTTTTTAGAGTTGTTTTTTTTAATTTTATCCAACCCCTTATATCACGCTATTCAATACCTACATTACTTATGAAATAACCTTATATTTCTTTTCTTTACAGACAAATCTAAACGCGGAGGCAGACAGGCTGTGACAGTGGAAGAGGCGTTCCGGACGAACGTCCTTGCTCTGGAATGGAGCCTGCTTGAGGAGATGACCCAGCTTGCGGGTGTCGTTTCCATCATAGACATGGAAGGCTTCTCATTGGTCAAACACTCTGGATTCCTCAACCCTTACCACACCATGAGAACGACCTCTGTAGTACAGGTCAGTTAGCATATTGGCTGTCTCATGAATTTATGTATTATGGATATACACTAACGAGAACTTTTATATTACATAATTATCTCTCCTTAACACTATCAAGCTCGCCAGCTTTAAGTTCGACCGAGGTTTGGTTTTGAAGCTACGCTCAGCTTCGACCATCGTAGCTAAGTTATTTTTTTTTCTTTTTAATTATTTATCCGCACCTGTCATGGTGTTGACCATCATCATATGTGTTCTGATGATGAGGATAGGCATTAAAGGCATGAGGAAGGCTAGTACCCAGCAGCACCTCTTCCTGGTCATTATTCATATTTTTGATTTAGGTGAGAAGATCGCTCATCCAGCTCCTTTTTAATCTCCCCCTGATGGGCATATCAGTCGTAGCCATGTCGGTTATAAATCTGTTTATGTGTGAGATGAAAATGTTTGGGATGAAAACGAGAGTAGAGAGTACGTATGTGTTGGTCTATAGTTGTTTGTCGTAAGTCGTTATGTAAAGTTTTGTTGTTGACGTACCAAGGAGCTCCTGTTATAAGTCGTAAAATTTTGGATTGAAATTACTTTACTTTTTTTTAAGTGCGTCTTTATTGCCTGTAAATCTGAGAGGCGTATGTCCAGATGGATTTGAGTAGTTATGTGTATGTATTTAGTTTTTGTCGATCTTTCAATTTCGATTTAGAAAAGAGTGGGTACAGTATTTTCAGTTGCTTGTTTGAGGTCTGTCGTTTCATTTTAAATTGTGGGCCTAAGTTTTTTTTTAATTTTATTTTTTTATTGGATCTTGCCATTAGTCTTCTAGCAGCTACGGGGCAGTTCTAGGTGGTCGTTTTGTTCTTTTATATGGATATCCAAGAAGCACGTGGTTCATAATAACCTGACGCGATCACAAATCACTCCCTCTTCATCAGGATGGTTGGCAACCTTTTTCAGACATCCTGTTGTTTTTTACGGGATAGGATTAATATGGTGTCCAACCCCCAACCTGGAGGATTACCACTCCTACTTACCACTGCCTCATAACCGTATGGCTTTGTTCCTCGGTGTCATCCATTCTTTGCGCTTATTTTCTCTGCACAACCTCTCGAATTATTTTATTTTGGCTTAATGTAAAATATGTAATGGAAGTGGAAGAATTCTTAATCGATTGTGTATACATGTGCAATACATTCTCTTACTATATATTAGTATATCGATAAGTGAAAGTAAAAATCAATATAATCAATTCTTTCATGCGTTTCTTTTATTTGAACGTTTACACATAACTTACCACTCTATATAATACCACTCTCGTCAATTTTCTCAAAAATATTTACCTGACATTAATTATATTTATTTTTAATGCAAATATAAATATATACTAATAATTTATCTGCTGATAGCAGATACGTTATTTATTTTGTTTCATCGGCCGTGAATCTACCCTGGGGCACACCCTGCCTCTATAAAGTGGGTACCGTTAATTGATTAATTAATTGAGGTGAAAACCCTGACAATTGAGCATGATCTCGGCAAATCATCTCCTTGCACAGCCGTTGACCAAGAAACCGTACTTCCCAACATAGTATTGAACCCAAGATACTTCAGGGGTTGTAGTTGTACAGATTTGTTTTATTTTTAATTTTTAAATTAGATACTGAAACTTAGATACCTAACTTTCAGTATTCAAAAGTATTTCTTTCATGAAATACTTTGTATAATAAAAAGTATACTTTTAATGAATTTTGCTCCTCATTCTAACTATTCCTCCTTGCATCCGTCGATTCAATACCCTTCCCACCTTTAAATCTTGCCTATTCAAACACCTGTTATCCGTTCAGTCCCCATAAAATTGTAAATATGTATATAAATGATTAGCACGTTTTAAGTATTTTTATTTCATTTTTTCTTTAATGAAGTTAGAAGACAACTTATACATATTTTTATTTATTATGTCTATTTATTTTTTTTGTTATTTGTCTGTATCTGTATATTATTCTTAAGGGACTTGTATCAGAATAAATGAAGTATTCTTATTCTTATTTTGTTCTATTTTTTAATCTAAAGCTCCTTTAACCTCGAAATATATATTTTAAATGTTCAGTCCCAAAATGAAGTATAAACTTACTCATTTGAGGTCGCTATTCAACCGAATAAGGTTGATACACTGAAATATTCCGTCCATTCCTATTGGACCGTTGAGATAAGGCGATGGCCCAATCAGCTTCTGGATGATCCTTCTCTTATCTTGACATGACACGCCTACTCCCTAAGCCCCTCAGAGCTCATCTTCAACTGAAAGGGGAAGTATTGTATCCCGTCTGTGTCAATAAGCCTTTCCATAGAGGGGAAAAAAATAACCGACTCTTCAATTGAAAGAATTCAAGAGATTTTTAAAAGCAGTTGGACCCCTGAGTTTATATTTTATATATTGTACTTTCACATAAAAATATATGTATTGCGATCGTGACATATTTCGAATCCGAGATTTCAACGAAAGTAGTTGTTTCTTCAGGATCTCCCGATTCTAATGAACAAAGTTGTATTAATAAAAATAAAAAAGTTTAAAGTTAAGTATAGATATTTTCGTGACTCACTTATTGGAAATCCTAGTCGACTTTTACAGACATTAATTATTACTAGGAACTACTACCTTACTACCTTAGAATCCGGCGAGGAGACTTATACGTCTCTGGAGCAGAGATCCGTTGCATTTAGAAGAGTGACGTTATAGATGTTATAATTTTTACAATAAGTGCAACTTTTTTCCATTTATTCAATTTTCTTTAAATCAGCTCTAACGATTTAGATTAAACTCCACAAATATTCTGGAATGCAATGAAGGAAAATCATTCTACCTCGTTTTTCTTTCAGCTTATTATCTCCAAATAGGTAAAAAATGATGGAAATACTTTAATTGATTCACCTGTTGACGATATATACAATGAAAAACAAATGAAAAATGCAAAAATTTGTATGATGGTGGCGGTACGAGGGATTGCAATTTCCGCTGAGGCTGATGGAATTGAACAGATTATACTTCTTGTCTTATGGTGTTTATTATAATTTGTCATCAATGTAATAACAAATGAGGATTGAAAAATAACTGACAATTCATATTTCTCTATAATTACGAATATATATGTACTAGTAGACCCGTGCGAAAAATTCGCAGTGCATATTGTTATCAAATGCCGAATTAATAATAAAATGAAACGTATCAAAAGATAAAGAAATCAAATGTCACTTTATCGATAAATATAATCGACAAAAAAAAATTAATTTAAATCTTCATTTTTGTTTAGAACCAACATGTTTACGAATTTCAGAAAGCCGTCTTAAATCTTTGAATCTTTGCTAAAAATTGTCTGATTTCAATGATGATTTTTTTTTCATTTTATAGGAAATCAAGTAATCTTTCATATAGTCATGGACACAACCAGGGAAAAGTATGTTATTTTCAAATAAAGTTTGTTTTCTTTCATAACTTGTTTGCCTGAATTTTCGGGGTGATTGGTTCGCCAGAAGGAGAAGGAAGCCTTCGAAATCGGTGACTCAATATTGGAATTTGGTGAAAAATTAACGATGATATGGCTTGCTGATCAAAAACACCATAGATAAGTAATAAAAACTCTTCCTCTCTCGATCATAGAGACCTCAAGTCGACGAAATGAGACATGTATTCAATGACAGTACTACAATTAACGTCAGGTTGTGTGGATGCGAACCCATGCCTTGCGTTATCTCGAAAATAGTACGTTTTTCGGCTTAAAAACGCTGGATCCGATAGTTCCGAAGGAACTATCCGGGTCTTGCTGTACGCATCAATATCTTCAAGATCCAATTTGTCCCGTATCGATCTACAGACCTACCACCGTTCCAGTATCGAAGGCTGGCAAAATGTTTGTATCGACTTTATTTATTTTAGAAAGAAAAACAAAAGTGGAGAATACGATTCACTAACCCCCCGTCAAATTCAACAAATTCAAATCCAACGGTACCCCATTCACGGTATTTGAGCATGACAGGAGCTTATATGTGGTACAAAACCTATTTCGAGCCTTACTATAATAATATATGTGTGGATGTGGATATGAGTCGATACATAAAATTCTGGAATAACGGATACAATTGTATTTGTTATTTAAATAAAAATTAGTCCAGATGTAGTTATTATTCGTTCATGTAAAAGTTAAAATTAACTGAAAACAATTATTTACACTGTTTTTCATTCAACTTTATCACCATATCTTATATTATTTAACTAAATTTGTTAAGTTTCCATCTTCACGCCACCATCGGGCATTAATAAACACAACAATTACATTTTTATGACTAGGCCGAACTGTGGTGAATATTTTTTTAATCGTTAGTGGAATAATAATCATGTGCTTATTTATTATTGCTTTGTACAGGATTTGTTCTCTTATACGACTGTATATGGTAATGATGATGATTATTTGTATACTCTTATTTTAAGAGCTTTATTTAGTGAAGTTGAGAATTTATATAAAACTATTTATTAAAAGATCTAAATAAATAATTATTTAAATAACTTGCCAGCTTTGATCGGAAATATTCACATACATAGCTAATTTATTTTATTATAAGAGAAAAATAAATCACCCAAAATATATAACTACCATTAGCTTCTTTTTACTGTTTATTCAAGAAAAATATTTTATTTTTTCTAAAACTTCTAACTTCGTCAATTAATTAACAACTTATATCAAACACCGCGACCACAATTCAATTCAGCGAAGGAAAAGAAAGAACTTTTAAGAGCTCTTTTCTTCGTTTTCCACACCAAGTAAAGCTTCTATGGTTTTATTTAATAAAAACAAAAATAAACTCATTGGCTTTATGGAAGCATTGGAATAATTTAAACGGAATCAACAGTAAAAATAATTTGTGCGGTAATAGTATGGATCTTTAACGAAAACAGATTCAACACAATATCCAGAGGGTACGGCTTAGATTCATAGATACATATATATGGAAACTTCTTTTCGTAACAATGAATGCCTCAACAG